CATTTCATTCCCTCTCGGTCTCCCAATTTCGGAGGACTGTGGGAAGCCGGAGTGAAGTCTGTTAAATATCACTTGAAACGAATAATCGGTCAGTCAACGCTTACTTTCGAAGAAATGACCACAGTTTTGGCTCAGGTGGAGGCATGTCTGAATTCCAGACCTCTAACCGCACTACCTTCCAATGAAAATGAGGAAATATCGGTACTTACCCCGGGACACTTTTTAGTTGGTGAATCTTTGGTGGCTCCACCTGAAAGAAACTATGAGTCGGCAAACGTAAGCTCTTTGAGAAGATGGCAATTTACACAACGCATGTTGCAGGAATTTTGGCGCTGCTGGTCTCAGCAGTACCTTCCCAAATTTTATCATCGGTACAAATGGTCATCTCAAACTCCACAACCTAAAATAGGAGATGTAGTCATTGTGAAGGAAGATGGTTTACCCCCTTGTCGTTGGATGTATGGCAGAGTGATTGACACCCATCCTGGGTTGGATAATCTTGTCAGAGTCGTCACTTTAAAGGTACGGAATGCCACATTTAAAAGACCAGTTACCAAATTATGTATTTTACCAATAGCAGAGTAAAAAAAAAAAAGGTTCATCATTAATTTTAAATATTGTTAATTTTAAATATTGTTAATTTTACTTTTGTTGTTTTTGTTTATTGTTTTACGGTCTTATACTGTTTTTTATTCATGTACACCTTAGCCTATAAACAGATTGCCACGGTGGGCGGTGATATTCACCTTTTGGTTGAAGGACATGTTGCATTTTGTCCTTGGTGGGTGGAATGTACAAGCAGGTTATTGTACGTAAGTTTTATCTTTTGTAATTTGCATTACCGTCACTAGATGGCGCTATTTAATTTGTGTACACGTCTACATCGCGGTATAAAGATTTTCTGACTGTTTATTATAACCCTGATACTGTGTTACTTTAAATATACTCGGTTAACACCGTAAATAGAATTTGGTTGTTTTACTACTAGTAAACCCTTACTCTGTTTGCGCTTGAACCCCTGAACAAAGGATTTGTTCAAAATGATATGATAAATGATAAATGATATTTATTTTCTGTAAGTAAATCTTTTCAGATATTTTTTTTTTATTATATTACAAGTCGGACTGTATAGCTAGAAGGAGCCGGCATTTCCTAAGATTCACTCTGGGAAGAAACGCCGAAACAAACCACAGAGGTGTCTTTTTTTTTTTTGAGCAGCGATATGGTTACTTTACTCATGCAGGTTTAATACGGCGCTCTTATAACTTGATGTAAACTCTGATTTCCCTTCATAACCTATAAATCTATCGCCTTCATCGTCACCTTGACGTCAGCTAAATGACAAGTACGTCAGCTGGACGTCATATTGTTGTGAGCATCCGTTAGCAACTTTAACTCTGTAACTTCAGAGTTATGTCATTCTGAAGCGTGTTAAGTCTGATGTCAATTAAAAGTCATATTTACGTTAGGAATTGGGAAATTCTGAGTCATATATGACTTACATCCTAGGTATACCATGACGTAGCATGACGTCATTCTGAGATCAGTTTGACATAATTGTGTTCAATGGGGCTCTGCTTAGTTTGAAATATTATTAGATATATACTTTTGCGAAACTATCATTTCCTTCTATAATTCTGATTCCTTTAGGTGAAACTTATAAAATAAAGAAGAAAAAAAAATACAACCGACCCTAAGGACGTTACCCTTAGCGAATGTAGGATTTTCTTTTCGGTCTTTTTAGCAAAATATCGCGTAACAAAATTGGATTCGAAAAAAGAGTACTATCTTCAGCTTAAGACACCAGTGACCATTATATAATGAAAAGGTGGCTTATTTGAAACAAAAAGGAAATGACAAAATTATTAATAATAATTATAATATATTTTACTACATTCACACAACGCCATCTAGTCCTAAATTAAGCAGAGCTTGTACTATGGGTACTAGACAACTGATATAAATACATATATACTTTTTTTTTTGTAAATATATACATATTATACGAGTACATAGAAACAACCAGGCCAAATCAAACATTATATGTTCATGCACACAAATGTTTGACTTGACTGAAAAATACTTTGCTGCCTAATAAAAGTCATGACGACCTGCCTCCTCATTTATCGGAACCAAACCAAGTTAATCTACATTTTTTAAATGTGCCTAGCAATGTGCCCTTAGCCAACTTACCGACTTTAATGTCTTATGAAACAAACAGATATAGCAATGCTCGTTTTTACGCATTTATTAGATCTGGGCTCTAATGCTGAAGGCTGTGATCATCATGAAAATAAGTCCAGATATGCTTTTGTTCACCCTGTCTAATACACTTAAACCCATAACATATATCATAAATGGGACGATACTAACATCAACTTTCCCTGATCTATGGAAAACAGCTACCGTTAGGCCTTTTCCGAAGAACCCAAATCCGGAACATTAAAATATCTGCGGCCAATCAACATACTGCCATGGCTGTCAAAAGTTCTGGAGGGAGTGGAGTGTCGGCAGTTTACAACGTATTTGGAGGAAAATGCAATCTTACCCGAGTTTCAATCCGGTTTCAGAAGGCGTCGTAGTATTAGTACTGCCCTAGTAGATGTGACGGACAATATTTTAGAGGCCCAAGACTTTAGGTGCACGCTGCTGGTGCTACTAAATTATTCCAGGGCTTTTGATTGCATAAATACATCGTTACTGGTATCTAAATTGAATTACTATGGATTTCATTCGAAAACGGTCAAATGGTTCCACAGTTACTTAGATAATCGCCGCCAACGCGTAGAAGTGCATCTACTTGATGGGTCCACCGTTCAATCCGACCTATGCGCCCTGCAAAGGGGCGTGCCCCAGGGGTCAATCCTGGGTTCAATTTTGTTTCTTTTGTATTGTTCTGACATTAAAGCGACTATAAAAAAATGTAGTTACCATATGTACGCTGACGATTTACAATTATACATACCTTTTTAACAAGATGAATATAAAAGAGCTATTACAGCATTAAATGAAGACCTCCAAATAATGGTTACGTGGTCTCAAAATCACTTATTGGTACTCAACCCCTATAAAACTAAGTTAATACTACTAGGTTAAAAATATCGACTTAATCGTCTGCCTACACTAAACATAACACTTATAAGGGAGTGTATTGAGAGAGTTCATAAGGCTCCTAATTTGAGCTTGATCGTGGACTCTCATTAGAGGTTCGATAAACATGTGGCAGAATTGGTACGCAACTGTTTTTATCGCTTAAAACCATTGTACAAAATAAGACCCTTTCTGACAGTGGAACTACGGTTACAGCTAGTGGAGTCCCTTGTACTGTCTAAGCTTAACTACGAAGATACGGTGTATGGTCCTCGCTTATTTTCACAAACAGATAGGATGATTCAGAGAGTGCAAAATGCTTGTGCGCGGTTCTATTTTGTGATGCCTCCGCGCGGCCATGTCCCCTTCCTTAATAAAAAAATCATGTTGAAAATAAAAACAAGGCGGAAACTTCACCAGGCTTGCCTTATGTTTAGTATTGTTAAATATCAAGAACCGTCTTACCTATGTAATAAGATAAACTGGGTGTCTAGTAGGCGTAGCCGCGGCAATAGGCAGTGCTCACTACCGCTATCCATTACCCCGTCATAAGTCGGCTGCTTTCATGGGTAGTTTCCATTATGGCTGTAAAATTTGGCACAATATTCCCCCGCCGTTAAGGTTACTTACCTCAATAAGAACTTTCAGATTAAGGCTACGGCGGTACTTAATCGACGCACAGAGGCAACTTGACATGGTAATCACTATATCTACTATATATATATATATCTTTAATATAATTTCTACTGTTGGATGGGGATGGCAGAGTTGACTTCGCCCGTACTTACTTAACTTTATTTACGTATTTCCTAAATTATTTTAAGTTATTTATTACTTTCCATTGTTGCAGTTGTGTGAATAGAATATCTTTTGCTTCTTTAAAGTATAGTTCATATTAGCTTATTTCTATTTATTTTTTGTTATTGCATAGGCCGATTTACGTCCGTTACTCATAAAAGATCTGGTTAAAAACGCTGAACCAGGCCCTATTCGACTTCCTCATGCCGCCCTGAGTGTGGCCCGCGGGTGGACGAGACGGGTTTTCTCCTCCACCCGCCATAACGGCCAGTCGCGAGGAGGCTACGTCCGCGTGTACCGGACGTCGCCTAAATAGAGAATGTACCTGAAGGTGGTGCCCGCGCCGTTGCGGGCAGGCGGTAGGAGGGATCCGGATGTCTTAATAACAGCAGTTCCCGGATCAATCCTATTACGCACTGACTGACAGAATGGCACGTGAGGTACACGTAAAAATGTATTTTCGCTTAAGCCTAGTATTAAGTTTCCTTTATATTTTAAGTGTATGTTCTTACGTCCACGAATAAATTGTTTATTTCTTATTTATTTCGTTTTGACAGTAAATAAACAATAATCTTTAAAAACAACAACATAAACTTTTGTCAACTTTTGTCAAATAAAAAGAACATAATATCTAGAATATAGAAAATATAAAAAAGAAAAATATAATCTGTCCTACCTACTGGGTCCAATTATTAATGTAAACCTTTCAGAGACCACTCAAATTTACAGAAAAATAATCACCAAAATCTGTGCAGTGCACAGGACAGATGTGTAGTGGTTTAGAAGGAGGAGGTTCGGTGACATTTACACGTACAAACAAATTAAATACAAATATTTTTTTACTGACAGTGTAAACAGATGCAGTTTTGCATTGCACATTATTTTTTTGCTAGATTGTAAATAAATTTGACATTATCTAATCAATAAAATTTGATAATATTTTATTGTCTTCGTGTGCTCCTTATTGTCATTTTATTAAAAATCATATTAGTTACGTGTGTTATATGATCAATGGTACTAGTCAAGCGCATGATATAGAGTATTTTAGATATTTTAGAGTAATTAGATTCGATAGATACAAATGTAGCAATTGAAAAATTTAATTGATAACGATGGATAAAAATAGAAAAAGCTGGATTACACCTTTTTTGAAGCAAGTGAGTAACATGGTTTTAAACTTAATCTATAACTTAATATTTGATGACTATTATTAGCCTTTAAAATCAAAAGACCCGTCTGAGATTCTCATTAGCCGCAGAACCGACAACTGTTGGAAAAAATAGAGTTCTTGAGTGGAGACCGCTTCCGGCAAACGACTGACGATTTGCGCAAGATGGCTGGCAGGAGCGGGATGCGGGAAGCCCAAAATCAATCTAAGTGGCGTGCAATGGGAGAGGCCTATGTCCAATAGTGGACTGCGATAGGCTGATGATGAACTGAGATTCTCGGCATTCCTTACCCTCGGCCACAACCGTTAATGGTCATGGGTGTAGCGACCTTCATTTAATGTAAATGCGAGCACGGGTATAATGTATCGTGACAAATTCAAGTCTAACATTTTGCTATTAACAGCAGTCTTTTCTCAACATGTCCTGGAATATACATAAACCAGCGGAAACCCTCAGTTTTTGGCTATTGCTCCGCTTAGCGTAGTAGCGAGGGGTAATATTACGTGTCATATAACCGAGATAAGTGCCCTATCAAATATAATAACAACCGAACTGATAGTTACAGAGATTAGCTTGTTTCAACTGGTAAACTATCAAACAACTAAATCTACTTTTACAAGAAAAAAACATCGACTGTAACTTGCCTACGCCATGTTGAATTTTAATAAACTGTATTCTTAAATATTCAACCTTTAGGTATGATTTTTGTTTAAATTAATTAGACCTAACGGAAAGCTTTATTTGGGAGACTGTCTCTTCTGGGAAGCTTTCTCCAAATTGTTTTTGAAATGACTGACTTCTGAGGTAACCATAAAAATAATGAACCAAATTGAGTTTTTTTTTTAAGTATGTTGTAACTATAAATCTAGTTCCTAAACTCACTTTCATTATAATAACCACACCGTAACACCACCGTAAAATAGTGACTATTTCAAATTCAGCGTTAGGTATACTATGTAAACTTAAGATTATGGTTATCACGGTGTATTTCAGTGTTTCGTGACAGCATCTGTGGGCAGTAACATTGTGGGCCATGGCAGTGTCATCGGTTACACAGCAATTTTGTTACCACAACTGAACATGCCCGGCTCGCAATTCACACTCGATCTTGTATCTGCTTCCTGGATAGGTAAGGTCCTGACATACAATGTTGGTAATTTGTTTTTTTATAATTGGAAGTTTATTTGAAGTTCAGATTTACATAATTTGTTTAACAAATATACTAGGCTGAGACTGTATCGAGACTATCAATACAAAAACAATTATACATTTGGACAGTAGTCATAATATTAGATTTTTTATAAATCTAATATAAAATAATTCGAAGAGATTACAGAGATTATCGGTTCAACCTGTTATTACCACTCTTGCTTGTTAATTGGCAATAACTGTCACATGTTAAAACTTTTAAAAGTTAAACCTTATTCATACTAGTTTCAAAGTAAGCAGATCTTGTACTATGAAATAATTGATCTTTCTAGTGAAAGTTAACTCAAAATGACTTTTATATTATTACAGCCTCTATCCTGGGAATAACTCAGTTAATTGGCAGTTTCATCACACCTCCCATCATGGAGAGATATGGTAGGAAGGTCGCCCATTTCTTTGTGATCGTTCCCAGCCTCGTTGGCTGGTTTATCATTACAATGGCTACAAATTTTGAGGTAAATTTATTTTTCTGTTATATGTATAAGTTATATAGCAGTTAGTAAAATTGTCTGAAGTTTTCATTACGCTCTTAATATCTGTGAAGTTTAAAGACTCTCATTTCAGTTGTTGGGGAATAACGAAAAATATAAAGCTTTATTTTTAATCCATTGTAAACAGTCAACCAAACAAAGCCGTAGATTTAGCTAAGCTTAGGATAAACATAACTTCCTCTCGTAACAAAAATTAGAGTTATTATTATCATACAAGTACATCGCTGTTCTTATTAACCTCAAAAAGCGACTTGCAAAACTAAATTCCAATAATTTATAAGTGTACCCTTTTTAGGTTATGCTCACAGCAAGAATACTCCAAGGTCTATCACTCGGGATGCTCTCACCTCTACGATCAGTACTTATTGGAGAATATACCAGCCCAAAGAATAGAGGTGCTTTCCTCACCACAGTTTCATTGTCCCAATCCTTTGGCATATTCTTCGTGCATCTCGTGGGCTCATTCCTCAGTTGGCAAAATACTGCACTGATCTGCGCTTTTTTTCCGTTTACAAGCCTTGTCATGACTATATATTCTCCCGAATCTCCAAGTTTCCTCGTCGCCAAAGGTCGACATGAAGAATGCAGACAAGTATTCCGTTGGCTCAGAGGTGATGAGGAAGATGATGAGTTAGAAGAAATGATAAATGGACGAATCATGTTCGAAAAGGGTAAAATTTTACAAAATTATAACAGAAAACGGAACCGATTACGCGAAATAATGTCAACGATCCAAAAAAAAGAGTTCCACAAACCAATCATTCTCATGCTGCACGCCAATGTGTTAGTAAACTTTGCCGGAGGTACTACTATGTCATCGTATTCGACTTTTATTATTGAAGCCGTTATGGGACCGGAAGTCAACGCTCATTTTTGGATGGTTTTCTTGGGAGCTCAACGTCTAGTATCAAATGCATTAGCAGTTCTTGCAATAAATAAATTTAAAAGACGTACCATGATGATTGCTACTGGAGGCCTCTCGATTTTCATGCAATTTTCTTTGGCTGCTTATGTATATTTAAAACAACAGGGAAGTCTACCATATGATTCCTTATGGGTACCAGCTCTCTTGATTAATTTAAAATACTTTGCAGTTGCAATAGGAATGTTACCACTACCAAATGTTATTAGCGGAGAAGTTTTTCCTTTGGAATACCGAAGTATTGGTGGAACAATTAGTTTGGGTTCATTCTCGGCTACATGTTTTTTGGTCTTGAAAACGTTTACCGCATCCGTAGAAAGCATTGGAATGCATGGAGTGTACATGGTGTACGGAGCTGTCATTACTTACTGCATGATTATCATCTGGATACTGCTACCAGAAACAAAAGGCAAAACGTTACAGCAAATCGAAGATGAGTTTAGGGGACATCCATTAGCCCCAGCAGAGCTTGAAGCGCGGCTGTCACTACAAAGTGATCCTATAGTTATGTATAAGAGGAAAATGTCGGAGCGTAAGCACAGCGTACCTATTATCTAATAATTTTCATGTCAAACACTTATTTTATAGGCTTTAAATATATTTGAGTAAGATGAAATTTTGATCGGATTCTCCAATCTGACTGTTTCATAGAATACGCCATCCGTGGTCGAATCCGTGAGTTATTTTTTTTTTATCTACATTAACATTTTTGATGTTTTCGGTTCGAACCTCACGCGAATCAAAAGTACATAATGATAAATCATATTTATGATTATTATGGTTCCTGCAAGTTTCAAAATTTGTATAGCGTATCTATTATCTTTTGGTTTGATAACGGAGTCTTAAATATATTCATAAAAAATGATAAAAATGTTATGGTTATCTATTTTGTACTTGAATGAAGTGTAAAACTGTCGATATAGTAACGATAGTAACATTTAGATATGTATATCGAGAATGGTATGTGTAAATGTTATGTAATAGAAAGTAAATCAAAAATATTCCAACAGCTTTTTATTATAATAATATAATAATAATCGTTAACCTCCTTTCTAAGGAGAGGCCTATGTCCAGCAGTGGACTAGTATAGGCTGTTGATGATGATGATGATGAATAATAATCGTTTATTTTTCTCTTTCACAGAGAATAGTTACAATTATTCCATCTTAAACTAGGTGTTACGTGTTAGGTTAGGTGAATCTGTGTGAGAGACTGGCATCTGCACTAGGACGACCTGTACGACAGATTTACCGGCCTCTCCAACTCTAGACAAGTTACCTATCTGATTTACTTAATTAAGCGTAACCAGGTGGAAGTGTGGACATAAGAGAAGTAAAATAAAACTAGTAAATGAATATGATAATATGATGAATGAACATTAGAATATTAATGAATGAAACGTGAACTGTGTGCATGTGTGTGTGCGTGAGTGTTAGGGTGCGCCCTACGACAATGCGATACGATCATCTTGGGGTTAGATATTTATTTTCAGGCTAGAATACTCTAGCGATAGCTCTATACTTAGCGACGTGTGTGTAAAAGTGAAGGTAAGTTTACTTACATATATTTATAAGGATGCAAGTAGTAAATATAATATTTACGAGGGTACAGATAAGAGATTTTCAGTTGCCTCATAGTTAAGAGACTTGAGCCAGACTGAGACCTTTCCTTTACAGACGAATTTTGTTTGAGAGTGAATACGTAATTTCTCGTTCACTTTGTTAGGAACCTTCCCATGAACCCAAAGAATTTGCCTGCAAACACAGTTGACCATAATTTTCCAATCGCAGGGCAAACCTTATGATTCAGTCGTTTCCTAGGACGCAAAGGTTCATAAACAAGATGAGAGTGCTGCCTTAATATTGTGTTTAGGATGTACAGTTGTCGTATCGTCAGGACATCCGCGAGTTGGTACAGGTCCTTACTACTAATACTACTAGGGTGCAAGAAAGACAAGGATATTAACCGAATACTTGAAGTTCAATATCAACATAAAACTTACAGCAAATACACTAAAAATAAAAAATATAGAGTCTCTCTGGTGGTCGGGCGCATTGAAACTGTGCTTACGGGTGGCCCTGGATAAGACAGAGGCCCTTTTATTTCGTGGTCTCCGTCGTGGTCCTCCCCCTAGTGCCTCAATTGTTGTCAACTCGCTCCTCGTACCGGTAGATGAAGGGCGGGTTATATTACACACACCCACGTGATGAACCGAGTTGGTCACCATACAGATAAATAATAAGCAAAATACTTTTTTTAAACTACGTTTTCCATAGAGATCATTAGTATTAAGTATTTAAAATATTCACCAGTGATAAATAGATTTTTGGTCAACTTGTGATTTGTAAATATTTATTTTGGTATTAAATATAATTTAATATCTATGTGAATATTAGAGAATACGTTAATCTATAAAACGTAATTAAAAACACATGTTTATGTATGAAAAAGGTGTATAACCTCACTTCTTTGAATTTATAATTCGATGTTATATAAATAATAATACAATGTGATACACAACGTCCAATAAAAAATATACTGTTAATCAAATAGGTACATATTGTTGGTTTTAATATTCAAAAGATGAGGTGCTGAGAAGATGAAGATACAGATACCATATCCCTCGTGTGATCATGCCTGGTGGACCGCGACCAAACGCGAGTTGAAAAGTTGTAGAATACTAATCGTTGCGGGAACACGCGTTGCAGGATTAGTAGAACCTCTCTTGTGTAGTGTCAGTCTTCATCATATTCGTCTTGTACGTGATTGAAGTATGTTTTCCTTGTATGTGGAAGCTTATACTAATAAATTCTCCAACATACGTATTGGTTAGTACTTTGTATATAATTTCGCATAGATACGTAATGTTTTACACACGCATTCTTCTTAGGTAAGGATTAGACCCCACACATTTTAGCCACACCTTGTAATGAGCTCAACTCGTCCACTGTCTCGCTCGGTAGATATATGGCTTGGTTCATTGATTGCGTATCAATTTATCGTAATCCAGTTTTCTTAATGCCATGTCTTGATAAAAAACTTTAGTCGTAGAGGTTCCATGTAGATATTTAATACGTAAATCTTGTAAGTACCACTTTGTAATGATTAAAATATGATTGGTTCTGGATAAAGTGAGATAATGTAATGTATTCGTTTACTTAACAAAGGCTTTCTACATGGACTGAAATATCACTTATATTTAAGAACATGTAAATTCTATAGTTTCAGGAAAAAAGTACTTTATAACTTTTGAAAAACTATCATTTTCCTTCTATAATTCTGTTTTTTTAGGTGAAGATATAGATATACACTGTGGCGGTATAGATATCACAAAAAATGAAATAACAGATAACACGGTTCAATATACGTCGGTTAAAATAAAAAAATAAAAAATTAGTACGAAAATACAGAAATGCAAATTTAGAACAAACTAAATACAATAAAATAATTTCCGAATTAGAACACCATTGATAACATGCGTCGGTGAACTGTACCTACACGGCAGCGTCGCAATGTCGGCGACATCAAAACGACGCCGCCGCCGGCGAACTTTACATTCTTATTACCTACCTACCAATCACTTCACTTGCTTTTAAAAATCTATTTATAAAGAATGCGATTTTATTCACGTGTTTATTTCGTGAATGCTCGACTAGCTTCCGACCCAGCAGTACGCGTCACTCCTTGAAAAAGTAGTTACCTTGGTTGTCTCGTAATCTTTGTACCGCCCTTACAAAAATTCGGCAGTCTGTAGGACATACACGATTGACTCCATACGTGTCCGTAAAGCAAAAGATGCGTTTTGATAGAGTTTTCCATAAATTAACATCATAACAGGATATTCCGCGGCTGTGAAGGTCACTCACGGCATTATGGATGTTGATATCGATAACCCAATAAAATTAAAAGACTGATAATGCACTCAGTTTCACACTACACTACACACAGAACCTAATAGTGACTTTTCAAAATAAAATTAGCAGGACTCCTTACATTACGAAGTCTTGCGCACACGATAACATTAATTGTTCACACCATTGCCGTGTATTATGACGAAAGCAATAAGACTAAACAATTATTACCACAAGAAAACTTCTCTAAACAAATATGTATCTCATAAACAACAACAATATTATTATTACGGTTATTTGTCGTGAGCGCATCTACAAGGATACGGAATAGCATAAGCTCGCCGGTGGCCAAGGGCCGACTGACTGTCCTTACTGGATGAACTAATTAAAAACGCGTGTTGCATCGTGATGACGTAATAATCAACATATTTCGTTCGATTCGGGTGTAGTAAAAGCGGCAACGTGTGATTACCGCGCCGCTGATCTATACCTACAGCTGATCGCCGCCTGAGGTCAATGTATTATGACTGCATGTACACATGATGTTGCAATTTACGAAACACAAAAATGAGTCCTGTGGCTAAACTACTGGATATATTTTGTTCATATTTTGCAAATCGCCTAGAAATTAAGGGTAGAATATGTGGCTTAAGTATATGTGAAAGGAAATGAAACTCTCTGTATATATAGATAGAATAAGACAAAGAACAATCGATGCTACAAACGTTATCCTGTCTGAATTTCCTTTCGGTTTTAATCATTCTTGACAGTTAAATAAATTAAGTTAAGTCCGTGTAGTGACGGATTACGAATACGGAATGTCACTACCCCAATTCATCCCGTGGGTGTTGTAAGAGCCGACTAAGGGTGCAAAACAACGCAGGACACCAGCACTGCAAGGAAAACTTGACACAAACCCTATACCAACCCGTCTGGCCAGCGTGGTACAGTAGGCCAAAACCTCCTTTCTAAGGAGAGGCCTATGTCCAGCAGTGGACTATTAAAGGCTGTTGATGATGATGATGATGATGACGGTTAAATAAATGATAATCTTTAAAAACAATATCAAAAACTTTTGTAAATAATAAAGAAGCATAATTTCTAGAACCAGGTTGCATTAGAAATATAAAAAAGAATTATACAATCTGGGAGCAGTCCTACCTACTGGGTCCAACTGTGAATATAAACCTTTCAGAGACCACTCAAGTACACAGAAAAATAATCAGCAAAATCGGTTTTCCAGGAGGAGGTTAGGTGACATTTGCACAAACAAATTAAATACAAAATAGCCAATATACAATTGAAATCTACTGTAAAGGTTCTTCAAAGATTAAACAATATGCTTACCGCATAACATTAAAAAGAAGTTTGATAATAATTGCCATGCATTATTTGAATTCTGTAAAATATTATCAATACATGACAAAATTAAATACACTTTACTAAATGAAGAATTTTTTAACGAACAACTAAAACAGAATAGACAGTATGACAGTAATACGATTTAAACACGCCAGATCCTGAAAAATGAGTTAATTTTGCCTAAATACACTAACAGTTACGGTAAGCATATATGTCATTCCATTTCTGATTAACGAATTACAGGTATCACTTAAGAAACAAATAACTACAAAAAATCATAAAAGTAAACTAAAACAATACTTCTTGCAAAATATATCGAAAAATTTATAACTATGTCTTACGTTT